AATGCTTCCGCCAAAAGTCAAACCCTTAAATATGGGGCTCACAACTTATCAATCAGACCTCGTATTGGTCTGTTAGCAGCGGTCTGCATATTTCATGGACATGGTCAAATTCACGTGATGATGGACATGATCTCCAGGTATCTGTGCTCGAGACCTTTGACAGAAAAGAACGAGGAACCAGTGGCAAAACTAATCTCCTCTTTATACAATAGTGCGGACCACCCAGTCTTATCCGGACTAACAAGGGTTAAGAATTCAGGTAAAAATGAGGTAGATACTTTTTTGAACGAATAACAGTGCCAGCGTCTCTATGCCAAAACCAAAACAAACAATGCAGTATCTGAGCGTGTCGTAACAACTGAAGGGATTTTTACCGGTTTGAGCTACGAAGTGGATGTAAGAGACGAGGAAATGTGAAGAATCTGGAAGATATCGTGTACCAAATGAAAAGGCCGAACGAAACAACGCTACATTAAATGGTTGCTTTTACAACAGAAATGCATTTCTTTGATACATGCAGTTGATGTATAGGGTTGGAGGGATGCATGTTCGTGAAAAATAGGATTGTCGTTGCGACAAATATTCTTTGTGCTATATGAAGCTGAAACGCTTGATGCTCATTGGTCTGCATGTTTGTTCCGTTGTTGTTTACCTTGTTCCCCTTCGGAAATTTGACACTACTTGGATTAACCAAGATAACAAGCTGTCAATGAAGCAGAATATGCTTACTCTTCAAGAACACATGGTCGTATTATGTTTGCACTTTTTCGGGACTCTCCGTGTTGATATACTATTTTTCTAGAAAGGTCTTGTTTTGTGCCGTGTCACGGGTGATGCATGGCCCTGGTAAACTTATGAAGTTTCCTTTCTAGTATAGGTCGTTCACGATATTCTACGGACTGATAAAGGATGGATTTTCTGACCGGAGTCAGCCCTATTGATAGGGACATTAAATGGATTTACAAATACAATTGTTATAACACTGAATTCGACAATAGGCCTTATCTTCTCTATGACAGCTTTTTTAATCAAAGTTTAATCCCTGCCTTTTAAACCTTGTTGAGTTCTTTAATTCATATGATGCCTGATCAAAATTGCCATTCCTTTCCAATGATCCTACAACGTGGTATATAATGTGTACCGCGCTACTGCTAGTGTTTAGGTTATCTGACCCGATGAATCAAGATGACATAAAGTCATCTTGTCTCGTCCGTCGTGGTGCACCATTCATCAGAGGAGAACCATTTTTGATAATATTAATTGTGTTCCGTCCGTCCGTGCATGCGTGCTTGTGTGCGTCAGAGGGCTTTTTCAGGCTATAACTTCAAAACCATTCAACTCATTTTCACAAATTTTGTTGTATATATATATATAGTGCCCTACTTGCATCCTTTCTTACGGACGGCATTTCATTTTCTTTAAGATTTTTCTGTTACCATGAAAACATAGCCAAAAGCACAAAATCATTCCTTTACAGGCTTCAACTCCGAAACCATCCCACCCAACTCCACAAAACTTTCTGTACATATTACCTTAGTGTCCTAGTTGTGCCTTTTGCTATTGGTGACAATTCATTTTTAATTTTTTTTATTGTAACCATGGAAACATAGTAAAAAACCACAAAATTGTTGTTATAAGTTATTAGTGAGATAATGTCACGCTTCGCTTTATCTTTTTACACCTTAAACTTCGTCTCTAATTGAACTGGTGGGATTGAGCTAAAACATTATTGAAATTATCTTGAAAAGGTCATGTCCAAGTGTTGTCATCTATTAGGTCAGTCAGATATCCAATGTTGTCGCCATTTTGAAAATCAATTAAACTTTTCAGGATCCACTGGTGGCCTGCGGGAAGGGGTAAACTGGTCTCAAATGACGTAAATCTACACTAAATATTCATGTATTTATAATGAAAAACTGTTCCCGGATGGAAGGTTCTCAAGCTGTTTTTCCAAATTTGTGAAGTACATGAACCCAGGGATTTGCATTTCTACCTGGCCAGGGGGTAACTTGACCATGGCTGATCCAGATAAAACACATAAGTTTGAGTTAATTTAGAAACGTATACAACATAATTATAAACGCTTCGAGAAACAAGTCATTGGTTCGTTATTGCCGACCCACACCATTTCGATTTCGAAAGAAAATGCAGAATCGTGAACTTGACACTCGAATTTAAACATGTTCTTATTTGTATACTCCATTAACTCTATGTTAATTAAAAGAGAAATGAAAAGACCAGGTGTCTGACATCTCAACTAATTATAAGTATGGCAGGGGAGTCAATTCACTCTCAAGCACAATCTCAAAAAGTTTCTTCTGTTCATTTGCATTTATTGAAACTTTAGAATATCAAGGTCAACTGATTTATTCAAAACTATTCAATAAGGATTTAAAACATTTTAAGTACATTCTTCTGAGGAACAAAGAAAGAGATGTAAAGGATCGGAATAGCCTGTCTATTGATGACATATCTAGATATAAACTAGACATTGACATTTGTGATCTATTGCTAGTTGGAAAAATAAAACTGGCTGAAAAACTTGCAAATTTCACAATAAGAAACTTGTAAACAATTGTTCGGCATATTGATAATATCCAAATCTATATTACGTTAATTTTAAAAAAACGTCATCATAACAAAATTTTCCGTTTTTCACGGGTCAAAATGTCGGCTTCTTTAAGACTCCAGGAATTCTAAATCTGAGCTGCGATGTGTGACTAGATAACGTAATGAATAGAAATAGCTTGCAAGTAGATAAATGGACATTACCTTGAATTGTGTACATGTCATGTGAAGGTGTTTTTGACACTAATTTATATGGATTTATTTTATGTTTGCAACAGTTGTAGGGTGGTATATTTGATGAATCGTAGAACAAAATCAACACAAGTTATCTGTTAATCTACACCACTCCCAGCAAAATATCTTGAATGGTGTGGTGACAATTGCCAAGTTGGATAGTTCTGCTTGGTCGACGTAGTTACTTGCAAAAAAACTGAGGAAATATAAATTATAACAGAACGAAACAAATCTATTGTAAATATAACATGCTCATAAATCAGGTTAATATCACATTATAATTTTTTTCAGCTAAGAAATATAGTGATTCGTTAAAACAACACCGCTACCCGTAGGTGCACGGTTTTTCACGGAGAATGAAATCACAATAGCTGTGTCCCTGTGTTGGCAAATGGAATAAACTCGCCATTGAAAACATGTAGGGCAGGAAGAGATAGCACTTTTATTACCTTCACACCAAAGAGTTACATAAGGTTGCATGCCAGAATTGTCTATATGGTATCGTTTGACGTTAGTTCCTTTTGGATTGTTGTGCGTTTTACCGGTTGATGGCCCTAAGGACCCTTTATGTGTTGAGGGGCCGTTCAAAATGTAATAATAATAATAATTTATATTTCTTTGGCATTGGACGTATGTTGTTTTACGGTTCTCTTGTTATTTTCGCTTTCTTTTTGGGAGATACTGGATCGATTCTTTTCGAATTTCAATGCTTCGTTTGGTCCCTTGTTGAGCCCGTTTAATTTTAAGATTAATCAGAAAAAAGTGGCTGAAGAAAGGCTATCTTAGATTTTGAAATAAAAATTGGTTATTGTTTTTTCTTGAGAAGTTTTGAAGGGAGCTTTCTCAAATTTCGTATGTAGAAAAAACATAGCTGACTTATGACCGTCTTGAATCTAGAATCTAAAGATTGCTTTTTGCTTATTCCTGAGAGTTTGTTGTTGTTTTGTTTTCGTTATTTCATTCAATTATGAGTAAAAACAATAAAAGAGAGAGAAAAAAGAGAACAGAACTACCCCGGTTCGTTTATTTGAAAACATTTTATGAAAATTATTAACATCTATCATTTCTGTTAAGCTGTAATATTTGTGTAATCCGATTCCCAGCACGTTGACAAGATCATTCAAGTCGAGATCATTATGTACACCTATTGGTTACGTTGTTCATTACTCCACTATACCGAAGTTTGTATAAACGGTGTTACTCAGACTTGCACGGACATATTGTAGACTCCCAAATCATCCTTCCACACGTGTACTCACCACACGTACACCGGAACGCCGCCTTTAAAAAGGCAAACACTGCTGGTAATACATTAGACTATATAAACCAAACGAAGCCAGTCAAAGGGTCAATGGTAATTTGATAACTGCAAATAGATCAAACAGTGATGCATTGCATTGGATTATTAATGTTTATGTCATTTTCAAGTTTCATGTTTTGTCTTTGCGGATTAACAAAGATTCATGCTGACGAGCAAAACTCTTGCACGAGGAGTGAGCTTTGGTTTTGTCGGATTTGTTGTTTCCATTTAAGTATTTTATGACGTTCTTGTCCTTGACCATATACATTACAAATATGTGCAAATATTGATGTCCGATAGTGGCATAAATACTTTACATAAAATGCTAACACGGTCTCTAGTACTGCGAGAGTCATAAAAGCGCATGCTTGTTAGTGTAACCATAGCGAAATCTGGATTATCCTGTGAAGTATGTGAGCAAATATGTATGATGTGCGTTAGAGAACAAATTTTTGGCTTAAAATTGTTTCTGGTCCTCTCTGTCGGTTTGCAATAAAATAAGTCTTGATTTGTACCGTAGTTCACAAGTTGGTCAAAGACAAACGTGTTCTTTTCATCACATTAGGCATTAATGTAAAATGGGCTGTTTCAAGAATTAAACATACACGTACAATTTGCTGTTCCATCAGCTACGTTTTCACGTACAATGTACCATCACTTAAGCTTAATGAATTACGATAATACTGTAATATGTTTATAAGTTGAAGAATTACGTACGCCTTTCCTTCATCTTAAGAAATAAACATGTTATCTTTTCAGTTTTAGTTGCATTTAAAACATACGTAATGACTAAAAACTGTCAATTTTATTCTTATACATTTAATGTTGCATGTTGCATGTGAAAAAGACATTTTAGAGTCCATAACTTCAACTGGTGACCACGTACGTTGATTCCAAACTACCTCCGGCCAGGGGAGTCGCCGCTGTGAAGATGTTCTCGAGCTGGAAATAGACAAATGTTTGGCTTTTTGGCATATAGATCAAATTGAAATTAACTATTTCGGGGGCGGGGTTGGGTTGGATGTGTGTGGGTCTGTGTGGAGGGGTTGGGGGAGGGGTGGGGGTGGAGGGTGGTGATGGTGGTGGTGGGAAACAACGAATAAACAAAAACAATTCAATGTGATTATTAGATATGTTCCATGTCCGCATTCAGATTAGAAACTTTTGTTCATAGCACCCGAGGTCTATGATAATTAATAACATGAAATTGATTTACACTGTAGCTTTAACACGGAACGTTCTGAAGACATTTTGGGCCGTTTTCAAGACAAAGCAATTAAGTTTCATATACGCACACTGTCATTTCGTTCAGTATGTGGGTCGCAATTACTTTGTTTATCACATTTTTTTATAGTTGTTGTTATTGTTAAAGATTTCCAAATTTTACTCCGGTTGATTATACATACCTAAAAGCAGGTTTGTGAGCTTCTCGATAGAGGCTAATCTTGACCCTAAACCTACGTCAAGGTTAAACCCACGTCTGTCTCTGTAAAGCGAATGTTTTATAATGTATAAATGAATCAACACATAAGGACAATATCTACAACAGACAACACATTAAGACTAAGTAGTTAATAGTATACATCATTCAAAAACACATGGACAAACATACAAAAATGTGCCACATTGTTAACACAGAACATATTCAACATAACAGAATCAAATACATCATGGAGTGACAGCAAAACACACCTCTGTCACCATGTAGTTTTCATTTCATTTCAACTAATTTTATTGATATCACTATCGATACATGTTGACCGCAGACTGGAAGCCTATGTAAGTCTTCTACAAAATTCCAGCGATTAAAATTGAAAAGATTATGACTTTTTACAATAAAGATTATTCACAAAATATGGTCAAAGGGAAACAACTCTTATTTTTCGACAAATAAAATTGAAAAATAGTATTATTGAAGAAATAATCTGTCATCATATTTTCATTCCATGTTATTTACCTATCCGATACCCATGTCATACATATGTAAAATAAACACCATGGCCATTGCAAGAGGATTGAACCTTCTAGCTTTCAAGTTTAAATCCCTCAGTATCACTAACGAGTACTAGAAGTACGATACCGCTGTATCAAGAAGTTCTGATAAATGTGTTCTTAATTTTGTTAAATTATATTTCACGATGGAAACACACGATAACGCAAAGCGTGACATTATCGCCCCGCATCCCGCATTTCAAAGGAAAGTAATTTAAATGTTAGGTATCAACTCCATCACAGTACCTGGTATTTTTATGTAGATCGTATTTTACTGTTGAGGGTTTTTGAGTATTACACAACCTTTGTTATAGAATTTATTATGGGATATATATGCAAACACGAGAATAGCCTATAAAATTGGAAAATATTTCCAACGATTAATGTTACTTACAAACAACAGAAAAAGAAAAATATCCGAAATAATAACTCCCCCAAATGCACAAAGACAGTTCTTGCAAAAGTGTATAAGGAATGTACACAAGACATACAAGTGAACAGCACTTTTAATACAGATTTTGGTACAGTAGAGCCAATCAATGAATCAGATTGCATTATACAGCTAGCTTTAGTAACTGTACGAGGTTTTGACTAGTTATCTTGCTCGGTTTCATAGTTCTGGTCCTGAAAACCTGAAAATGCACAGACGCTGAGATAACAATTTAGTGTACTTACAATATACCACATTATCTACACACAATATACCACATTGTCTACACACAACATACCACATTGTCTACACACAATATATCACATAGTCTACACACAATATACCACATTATCTACACACAATATACCACATTGTCTACACACATTATGCCACCAGGTCTACACACAATATACCACATAGTCTACACACAACATACCACATAGTCTACACACAATATACCATATTGTCTACACACAATATACCACATAGTTTACACACAATATACCACAATGTCTACACACAATATACCACATAGTTTTCACACCATGGAAAATAAACAATATTGATTACACGCCAGGCAAAACATATCATCATCTAAACAGATAGATATATCACACTGTCTACATACGAGACCAAACATATCAAATAGTCAACACAAGAAGACAAATATCTATGTCTTAACAATAGGATAAAGGTGTCTCGCTGTCTACACACCAGTCTATTACCACGCTTACAAACCAAGACTATTATATAAAAGCCCAAATTCCAGTACAAATATATATAAACGTTCACAACCCAGAACAGATATATATAAACGTCCACACACCAGTTCAAATCTATAAACGTCCACACACCAGTACAATTCTATGAACGTCCACACACAAGGACAAATCTGTAAACGTCCACACACCAGGACATATCTATAAACGTCCACACACCAGGACAAATATATATAAACGTCCACACACCAGGACATATCTATAAACGTCCACACACCAGGACAAATATATATAAACGTCCACACACCAGGACATATATATAAACGTCCACACACCAGGACAAATATATATAAACGTCCACACACCAGTACATATATATAAACGTCCACACACCAGGACAAATACACACCAGTACAAATATATATAAACGTCCACACACCAGGACATATCTATAAACGTCCACACACCAGGACAAATATATATAAACGTCCACACACCAGGACATATCTATAAACGTCCACACACCAGGACAAATATATATAAACGTCCACACACCAGGACATATCTATAAACGTCCACACACCAGGACAAATATATATAAACGTCCACACACCAGGACATATCTATAAACGTCCACACACCAGGACAAATATATATAAACGTCCACACACCAGTACAAATATATATAAACGTCCACACACCAGGACATATCTAAAAACGTCCACACACAAGGACAAATATATATAAACGTCCACACACCAGGACATATCTATAAACGTCCACACACCAGGACATATCTATAAACGTCCACACACAAGGACAAATATATATAAACGTCCACACACCAGAACAAATCTATAAACGACCAAACACCAGGACAAATATATATAAACGTCCACACATCAGTACAAATGTATAAACGTCCACACACCAGGACAATTCTATGAACGTTCACACACCAGGACATATCTATAAACGTCCACACACGAGGACAAATCTATAAACGTCCACACACCAGTACAAATCTATAAACGACCAAACACCAGGACAAATATACATAAACGTCCACACATCAGTACAAATGTATAAACGTCCACACACCAGGACAATTCTATGAACGTTCACACACCAGGACAAATCTATAAACGTCCACACACCAGTACAAATCTATTTACGTTCACACATCAGGAAAAATATATATAAACGTCCACACACCAGAACAAATCTAAAATATCCACAAAGAAGCACAAACCATAAACGTCCACACACCAGTACAAATTCATAAACGTCCACACACCAGTACAAATCTATAAACGTGCACAAACCAGGACAATTCTATGAACGTCCACACACCAGGACAAATTCATAAACGTCCACACACCAGTACAAATCTTTTAACGTGCACAAACCAGGACAATTCTATGAACGTCCACACACCAGGACAAATCTATAAACGTCCACACACCAGGACAAATATATATAAACGTCCACACACAAGGACAGCTCTATAAACGTCCACACACCAGGGCAATCCTGTGAACGTCCACACACCAGAACAAATCTATAAACGTCCACACACCAGGACAATTCTATAAACGTCCACACACCAGGCCAAACTGATCATAGCCTTCTCACCAGGACAAGTATATGTCGTACCAAAAATATCAGGATGAATATATCACATATTCTACACACTAGGACAAACATATCACATATTCTACACACCAGGACAAACATATCACATATTCTTCACACCAGGACAAATATATCACATATTCTACACACAAGGACAAATATATCACATATTCTACACACAAGGACAAATATATCACATATTCTACACACAAGGACAAATATATCACATATTCTACACACAAGGACAAATATATCACATATTCTACACACCAGGACAAATACATCACATATTCTACACACTAGGACAATATATATCACATATTCTACACACAAGGACAAATATATCACATATTCTACACACAAGGACAAATATATCACATATTCTACACACAAGGACAAATATATCACATATTCTACACACAAGGACAAATATATCACATATTCTACACACCAGGACAAATACATCACATATTCTACACACTAGGACAATATATATCACATATTCTACACACCAGGACAATATATATCACATATTCTACACACCAGGACAAACATATCACATATTCTACACATTAGGACAAATATATCACATATTCTACACACAAGGACAAATATATCACATATTCTACACACAAGGACAAATATATCACATTGTCTAAACACAGGGACGAATAAATCATATCATCCACACAGTCAGATAGATACATCACATCGCCTATATCGCACCTACAAACCAGGACAGACACATCAAATTAGGACAAACACATCAAATTAGGACAGACACATCAAACCAGGACAAACCGCTTCTTATGTTTAACACACCAGGAACAAAACGAAGCAACGTACGTAGGTCATGATACAACAACACCAGAGCAGAAGTAAGACAACAGCAGCATTTCTTCATAAACGAAATATATAGTACATGCTTCTGACACGCATTTAACTTCACACAGATATGAAGTAAAACAAAATTCAACATTGGTTACTGCTGGCAGTCACAAGTAGACTATTTTAAGATTTTAAGTAAACACACTCTGCATATCCTCAGACCAACACCAAATAAGGGTACAATGTTTCATCAGAAATGTCAGAAAATTGAAATCTAATTTAGCAACATATCACACGATCTCCAGCCTAGAATATGAGTTTCTAACAAGGTAATAAGTAGTTCATTAAGATAGGTCACGTCACAGCAAGAAGATAAGAAATTACCATCACCTTTCAACAAAGATTTCAGATTCGATGCAGTTGATTAAACAACGGATTTGTATGTTAATGTAAAATCTAACGCACTGAAACCAAAGTTATAACTATATTCTATTTTCGGTAACAGAACATGTGACCTTTTTACTGCTAATATAACTTGGACGCAAATAACACGTGTAAAATATTGAAGTATCTACTGCTATTGTTTTCAACACCCAAGACTTACAGTATTTCAACATATTGAACTGGTTTATCTTGAGAAGTTTCTTTGAAAATATAAAATACATTACATGGAAGCAATATTGCGTTATCATTTCGATATATTATAACACAAATGTGTTTAGATGTTAACTGTCTGAATAAAAAGTGTTTATGTTTGCGTTCGATTTGAGTTTTGCGGTAAAGATGTTTGGACAGTCTACACATTATAAAGGCAGACATTACGTGGTGAGTTTGGCAGCACTGAGAATTGAGTTTTGCAGTAAAGATATATGGACAGAGTATACATTAGAATGGTAGACTGGAAGTGGTGTGTATGGAAGCGAGACAATGATGACTAAAGGCTGTGTAGAGTAAATTAAGTTGTGATACATTATATCATCGTTGTATATGATGCACACATTAGGTATATTAGCACTATATTGATATGTATAACCGTACTGAATCACATTACCTGCAATACTAAAAATCTCTATTGTCGTATATCTGAAGCATACAGAAATCCGACTATCAAATGACCAGAGCAGTCTGAAGAGAGCTCATCAGCGGGTTTCTTTCACGTTGTTTTTGATGTACCGAATGGTTCTATCATCGTTATACAACCTCTTCAGACCGACAATAGGGCGTGTATTCTTACCTTCCTAAGTCCTGACTTGTTGTTAACATCCTCATGATATTTCTAAGGTTGTCGGTATAATCACCGTTATCTGATCTGAAAGACAAACAATATAAGAGTCATTGACATTGCAACTGTGAAATGTAGATGGGATACAGTATATAATAAAGGATATTCATTAGGAAACGATCCTTACGGAGTGGGAAGGATTCGCTTTGTACTTGATGACGCATAGAAAGATTAATGTACAGATAATGAACACCATATCCGATTCTGATTAGAAATGAAAATGAGTTTCTTTCATTGAACTGGTGGTAAAGCATAGTGAATTATTTGACACAGATATGATAAGAAAGACAATTAAACAATGGTGTCCCGGTCACCTCCGTTAATTAAACTCATGAAAAATATCTTTAGAATTCCTGTAGATGTTTGAAGGATTTAGTGTTAACAAACCTACCAGGGTCTGAACGACCGTTAAACAAAGTCGATGTATTTTATGGCGATAAGATCACTCGATTATTGGACTTTTATTCTTTATGTTACCATATATCGGTGCTGAGTATGTGAATTCTGTCCGGGCCGCCATTATTATATTGACTTCTAACCCCAATATCCTTCCGACTCATGTGAAGGGTATGAAACGTGTCAAATTAAAACCCTGTCAATGACAGCGATTTCCTTATTCTGCCCCGTATCCCCAGTGACTATGAAAACAACGTTCTGACATTAAAGTCTCATATTGAACAAGCAAATTGAAGGGCAACATCTTTCAAAGGATCCCTAAGCTGAGCTGATGCCACATTATTGTCACAGTCTAGGACGCCGACCTGGAGACAAAAATCAATTTCTGGTTTATTACAGCTATATGTACCGTATCAAGTTAATGACGAATGGATATTTTTCTCTTTTGAAATAATTCAGAATTTTTTGCTACAATAACCGATGAATTGTCTCGCTGTTAAATGACTGGTGTCACTTTTCAGGATTCGGACATGTAGTTACTAATTGCCAATTGCCTCCCGTTCTCTCTCATGTATCTTATATCCTATTGATATCGAGTTATATATTGTTTTGATTGGTGTATATTGTTTTACATCCTGTCACCAGCGAAGGTCACTTAAGGACGTCCAACTACCTCTCCGATATATTCTAGGTGAGTGTATGTAGTACCCACGTGTTTTTTAAAGTTGTAAAACTTTGGATTGAAGCATACATAATATATTTTGAAGCATAAAGTAGTTAAATCCTCAAACGAACGCTTTTTACCCAGTTTCTTCTCCTTCTTCCTTCTTCTTCTTCCTTCTTCTCCTTCTTCTCCTTCTTCTTCCTTCTTCTCCTTCTTCTTCTTCTTCTTCTTCTTCCTTCTTCTCCTTCTTCCTTCTCATTCTTCTTCTTCTTCTTCTTCCTTCTTCTTCTTCCTTCTTCTCCTTCTTCTTCTTCTTCTTCCTTCTTCTCCTTCTTCCTTCTCATTCTTCTTCTTCCTTCTTCTTCTTCCTTCTTCTTCTTCCTTCTTCTTCTTCTTCTCCTTCTTCTTCTTCCTTCTTCTTTCTTCTTCTTCTTCTTCTTCTTCTTCTTCTTCTTCTTCTTCTTCTTCTTCTTCTTCTTCTTCTTCTTCTTCTTCTTCTTCTTCTTCTTCTTCTTCTTCTTCTTCTTCTTCTTCTTCTTCTTCTTCTTCTTCTTCTTCTTCTTCTTCTTCTTCTTCTTCTTCTTCTTCTTCTTCTTCTTCTTCTTCTTCTTCTTCTTCTTCTTCTTCTCCGGTGTATGCTTCTGCCACTTTTTGTCAGATATATTTATCAAAATCTGTAAGTCTGATTCTAGCAAAACTTTGCAGAATGAAATGAAACTTGGTCTGAATATTTACAAAATCCTGGATGGCTGCCACAGGAAGTGAAATTTCAATGTCAAATTTTGATGAAAATTAAGACAAAGGTTTACTCTAATATTGGGAACACAATGATGCAATTGGTTTTCGATCGAACACTGAACATGACCGCAAATAAGGTATAAACTTTGTAACTTTGATATCGCTAATGATGTATGTCAAGGCTCTGCTTACGTTGATCTATTGTCCAGTTTGTCTGCTAGACACTGCTGACCGGTCACTTGTTTACCTGAGTCATGCATGGCTGCCTCTCTGGTCTAAAATTTGTGCACCAGAGGTCAGGTATCTTGCTCTAGTGTAGATAGGCTTAACTGCTGAGTAGAATTATTCCCTACTTCCATTAGCATTACTTTGCAATAACAGGGGTAGTTTGAGGGACTTATGCACTGGTATAAAGGTAGAATATGTACATTCGTATAGTCTGCGAGCGTTATATTGGTTTTACATGCATAGATTTAACGTGAATTGTACTTATTTTAAACATATATGTCAACGAATGAATTTTTTTTATACTTTCGTAGTTTCGCTGGGGTTATTGGATTGAAGAAGAAACATTCAAAATATACTCAAGGGATAAAGAAACACAGTGTGACATTATCTGCAATTCCTTGCGAACACGTTGTTCAAAAACAATGAAAATCGGTCATGTAACACTCTAGGTTACAGTGCATGTGGTCCTGTATCGAATATTGCATTATTGTAATGCGTGACGATGTCTTTCGGGGAAACGGGAAAACCTCGTGTACAGCAGTGTTGTGAAATTGAGTTACACTACTCGTCATACCATTAGGTCGTCTTCATAGAAACACATCATTTTTCGAAATTTTTATTAATTTCTTATAGTATTAAATAATGGCACGGCTGGCAGAAGTTCAGATGATTATGCAAAGTCAAATGCAAATACAGGTTGGCAGACATTTAGGCGTCCGTATTTGCACTATAGAACGTCTTGTTAGACGCCCAAGGGAAACTGGGCGGGTTGCTGACAGACCTAGGTCTGGACGTCCGCGTGTGATGTCACAACTTCGGGACAGGTTTAGTTGTCTCCCGCATTTGCGCAATCGGCACTTTACTGCCATTGAATCTGTCCTTCATACCATAGTACTCATAACTGTCTTATTCATGCAATAACTGTAAAGAAACGATTGCGAGAAGTTGGTCTGCGGGCACATCACCCGTTTGCCGGTCTGCCCCTTACCACTGCTTGTCGCCAGCGTCGTAGACGAGGATCTGTCCCACTAACAACAATATCCACCCACTGGACTGGCCGCCATACAGCCCTGACTTATCCCCTATTAAGCATTTGCGGGATAAGCTGTATAGCCATCCTTCCCCTATTACTCCGGCCCTTACTGAGAACAGCCCTCTTGGAGGAATGGACTAACTTTCAAATCAGGAGAATAAACTTACTCACGAACGCCATGCTGTAGAGAATCAGGGCTGTGGGGAAAGCGAATGGGGGACATACCAGGTATTGACTAGCCAGCTCCCACAGTCAGTCCATTTCAATTTCAGATTACAGAGTTCTTTCAATTCCCTTCAATTAGTCCTAAATAACTTACCAGATACAAATTGTTGATTTTGCAGTTTGTTTTACATTGATTAATCTTCATTCTTACTCAAAAATATTGAACATTATACTCCACGTCTTGCTTTGAATCATCTTCAAAGTATACCCTGCGTTTCTTTATCCGTTGAGTATACATAGAATATACAAGAGACAAAAATATTCGGGGACTGATGCTATTGTTATTATTTTCATATTTTCAGAAAAACGGTTTGCAATGGTCAAAACTGTTCCACTGACCCCTACACGTCTACAGCACCAGAAAAAAAACACAGATTCTACATGTACTTAAAATATAAACTTAAAGAATAATCGCAGGTCAGTATTAACCAATGTTTACCAGGATATCACCAAATCAGATCATATATGAGATGACTTCATGTGAAAAAATTGGATCTGTAAAACGATTGATTATTGCATCGTTGTAAGTGCAAGTAACTCCGTATTCATGTGCCAAGCGCATCTCACAGCAAACATTGAATTGGGGGCTAATATGCGAAAATTCAAACAATGATATTTATATGTTGTCATAATAAGGAGTATTTATAGAAAGTGTTAGAAAAAAGTCTGAGATGTGCTTAGCATGAAAACCAAAAGAACTAAGCTTTGATCCAATAATGACCCTCTGGGACCACGATCAACGTTCGTCATTTATACAATAAAAGAAAGGAGGATGTTGATTTAGGTCAGCATGCTACCTTTACATTTCTAGTTGACACATGGGCTATGATAGATATCGACCTTATTCTGGAAACCTCAGTATCGATAGTTTGTCCATTACTGCTGAAAACGGGCTTGTAGAAGATAAGGATGAAACACGTGTACTCACTCCCGTACTTTCTCGCTCATATTGAGATTTGTTTGCGCTTGGATATCTATGTATAATATAAACTGCAATATAATGGCTCCGATGTTTTGCAAAATAAATACAATTAGATCGTGATTATTTACATATATTAGTTTAGATGTTCACGTCAGGTATTGTTACATCAGAGTTATGGCTTGTTATAGATTATATTCCTTTGAAATGTAATTTGCCGTATCTAAACATTGAACAACGAAACTCATTTTAAAAAAAACCCACCAATACCACAAGGATGTTTGCAAGCAAAGTGCGCTTTTCCTAAAATATGGCAATCCTTATTAAATTTGATGTGCTAATGTGAAATGTCGTTTTCGTCCAAAACAAAGTGCAATCAAACGGTGATACATGAGAATGGGTAAGGTAACAAAATGTCACTATCATTAGTCGATGAATAGTGTTTTTCCATTGCCTGTACAAAAAAAAAAAATGAAAATGGCTCTTTGTATTAATGTGTTTTCGTGATAATTTTGTCACCGGAGATGTCGTTACTGCATGCTAATGATCTGCTTTAAATGGTAAACAATCGCAAATAACATTCCACTCAAATGCACAGCTGGAACACGACATGATCACAAAGCGATTCATTCATCACTTCACTGACAAGATAATTAGTACTGACCCGAAGTCATGTAATAGTTCATTGGCATCGAATGTATTACGTAGTCCTCTATTCGGAATCATGTTATTCATATAATTTTTTTATGTTACCGATTGACTGGGGAAGGATGCTCTCTGTGTCTTTTTTTACATGTAAAGTTACAATTTTCAGCCATTTTTAA